CTCTCTAGTTGAAGCTTGGATTTGAGATTCTCCAAGACTAAGTGGTATGTCCTAATAGATCAAGGACAAGTGTTTATATGTTTCTTTTCTTTCATGTAAAAGACTATTGTTAGATTTTTTATTGTAAAGGGTTGTGTCCTTACTTTTGTTTCGACTATTGTTTTTAGATGGCCATGTGAGACAATAGACTTTCGCTGTGTTTCAAATATTATTATAAACTTTTGATTGTATGGAATTAAAGAAAGTTTTAAATTCCGCACTATTTCTATGTATCAAATGTTATAAATGCTAAGAGGCTTGTATGAGACCCCTTTCCGGGTCAAGTACGCCGTGTCGCTTCTGGGGTATAGGCTCGGGTCGTGACATGAGAGTGCTGAGTTAGGAGATTGGAACACTACTGATGGTGTTCAGAGTATTGATCTAGTAGGATCTGGGGAAACCGAACCCACCCGCTTCGTGAGAGGTCTTCGACGCATTTGCACCACAAGTTTGCTTCACCTTTACCCTATGCTTTATTTTTTGAGTTTTATCCATTGAGGGCAATTGCACCTTATTTTGTTGGCATTGGGGTAAATGGATTGTAAGTAATAGGGTGAAGTCTGAATAACCCAACTTATAATCCTCTCTTGGGGTTTTCTTGCATGTGCTCTTTTCCCCCAAGAGACTATTTTAATTTATGTTGAATCGGCATGTTTAAGAATGTGTGTGTTGGAGTAAGTAGAAAAATGAAATCATGATGGCATAAAAAACATGAGAAAAATGATCCTTGTCTAAAAATGATGAAATGTGCTAGAATCTCTAGCTTGATGAGCTGAATGTGTTGGCTCTTAATATGACATGTTAAAGAACCGATCTGACTCCATGACTTAAGTTGAAACTTGAACTAGGTAATCTGATAATCTAATAATGAAACAATGTGCCAAGTGTGAGTGACAAAAGTTTGAATGTTTGGACAGTTGTGTGCCAATCTAGAACTTGCCCCGTTGGTCCTGCTAAGATAATCTAGGCTAGAAGCTAGGAAATGATCATAGGCCCTTGTTCTAATAAGTTCACTATTGCCTAAATGATCCAAATGTTTGAGCGTAATATTGACCACTTCTTTCAATTCACCTAACTCACCTTCCCTAAAATAATTGTTTTGGCCCCGGTCCCTCCTTGGACATGTGCACCTTAACTTAGGCCAAAAGCCTAAGTTGAGGGTGGCTAATTCAAAAAGGTACCTTGATCTTCGACCTGGTCCGATATTGGATATTGTGCCCCTCAACTCATGCAAAATACATAAGTTGAGGGTGGCTATGAAAAAGGAAATCAAAAGAAAAAGGGTATGAAAAGAGTGTTGTGTTGAAGAGAGAAACAGAAAAGAAAACATGTGACTTTGAGAAAAAGAATCAAAAGATGAATCACAAAAGTGCTGAAAGAAATAAAGAAAAAAGAAAAAGAGAGAGAAGAAAAGCAGAAAAATATGAGCTAAAAAGTCAAAGGTCACATCTGTGTTGAAAAGAGTCAAGGGAAAGAAAAGAAAATAAAAACATGTCAAGAATTGATTTAGAAAAGAGGTAAAAAGCCAATGTAATGTCAAGAAGGGTAGAAAGTCACTAAAAAGTACCCAAATGTATCATACTTGACCCTGAACCTATGTTGCAAGCCAAGAAAATCCTATAGTGATCCTAGTGATTAGTTTGGAGAGTCTATGTAGTGAAAATAAGGGCAAGCCTATGGTATTGAACACTAATTGTATTTGAAAATCACTTCTGAGCATGGGTGTTGAATGAATCCTAAAACTCAAAATTCATATCTATTGTGTGAAAAAAGGATTTCGTGTGAAGTGAGGGCACTAGTTACATTGTCGGAAAATTGGTACCTTGGCGATTGTGAAAAGTGTATTTTGTGGTGTCTGTTGGTCGATCTTTGTCATAGCTTGATCCGCATAAGTTAGCTTGTTGAGTCTAGATAAAAAAGTTTGTACTAACTGAGGGATTTGAGGGAATATATAGCCATGTGATTGCTTGAGTTTGAATGATTGCTTCTACACAAGTGTTGTTTAGAATTATAGTGTGTCGCTTAAGGACAACAACATGTTTAAGTTGAGGGTGTTGATATACCATGAGTTTACGGTATTTTTGATACATTTCACTTAAGAGTTGTGTGTGTATAGGGCCATTTTGTAGTAGAAATAATGTTTTATGTGTTATGTTTGCAGGAAATAGGCTTGGACGCAGTGGAGTGAGATGACAACTGAAATTGTGCAGAAGGAGCCACCCATGGACACGATCCACGGACCGTAGGTCCTTCAACGGTCCGTGGATGGGTAGGTGTAGAAGGAGCATCAGGGAAGTCTGACCAAGTGTGGAACCACAGATGCAATTGACGGATCGTAGGTCGACCCACGGGCCGTCCTGCACATCTGTCGTTGATGAAGTGGGAGTTGAAGTTCCAGTACCTGATGAAAATCCAAAGTGTGGAGACCCACTAACCATAGATCAACCTACGGTCCATCCTACACGTCCGTCGATGATAAACTGGGAGTTAAAGGTTCCATCCTCTGCTGAAAAAGTTCTAAGTGTTGACCAACGGAGGGGAACTATGGACCTTAGGTCAACCCATGGTCCGTAGGTCGAGTCGTCGATCAAACCCGTGTTCCAGAAGTTTATTTCTTTATTTTGTTTCTTTTTTGTTTAGGACATGTTTTTCTATAAATAGGGGATGTAAACGGGTTGAACAATATTATTCACTTTTAGTTCTTGGTATTTTGTGGAATTATCTTGCAACTTTAGCAATTTGATTTTTGGATTTCGTTTTACAAGATTTTGACTTTGAAATTCAATTGGAGATTGCGGGTTTCTTCTACTCTAATCGTAAGTTCATGAATTCTTCTTATAAAAGCATGAATTGTGTTCTTTCAATCATGAGTAGCTAAATCCTCAACTAGGGTTGTGGGAACCATGAGCAATTAACAACGTATGAATAATAATTAAGTAATTCTTGAATAGTGTTTATGCATGTATTGGTAATTCTTTTACTTAGAAGTCTTTTTAACGGTGCGCAATGTTAGAACTCGCCTCGTTGCTACTTGTCGGACCAAGAAGGTAGTTAATGAGAAAAGAATTAACAACAAAGATTTAGTGGATGCTATCTAATAGTCTAATGTCAACTGGCGTGAGGGTGAAAACTAAGCCATACATTGATGTGATGTCTAATATGAGGTAAAGGTAAGGGTTAGTAAAGTATACACTCATAGCAGGACCAAGGTGCATAGTGAAGTTCTCTATTTGGAGGACCAATCACTTTGGGATACCTATCTTACCAACTTTCCATGTAAAACACTAGAAAAAGATTACTATTATTAGGATTACTGCATTAGGAGCTCGTGGGAACACATACTCCCTAGTTTCTCTCTCATATTGATAACAAGAAAGTTTGAATCCTGGTTATTTGTTACCATAATCAATAATCTGTTACTTGTTTACTTACAAAAATCCCCCTTTTAGTTTACTTGTTTTGGAAATAGTTTGACTAAACAGATATAATCGTAAGTTAAGTTTAAGTCTAGAGCATATTCCTCATGGGATCGAACCAACCTTCAAGTTGGGTTGTTTATTTGACAACGATCGCTTATACTTATTTAGGGAGGTGTAATTTGAGCGTATCAGTACCTACCAAATACGATCTGAACTTGTCGAAGGCGAACACTAGAGCTAGCAGCTCTTTCTTAGTCACTGTGTAATTAGCTTGTGCAGAATCTAGGGTCTTACTTGCATAATAGATTGAATGGAACACCCTATCTTTTCTTTGTCCCAACACCGCACCCACTGCTACGTCACTTGCATCACACATGAGTTCAAATGGTAATTCCCAATCAGGAGAAATTAAGATGGGAGCCTCAATCAAGTTCCTCTTCAGCATCTCAAAAGCTTCCAAGAACATCTCATCAAAATAGAATTTCACCTCATTATCCAAAAGACTGCACATAGGTCTTGCAATCTTAGAAAAATCCTTGATGAATCTCCGGTGAAAACCTGCATGACCAAGGAAACTTCGCACCCCTTTTACAGAGATAGGAGGGGGTAATTTCTCAATAACTTCTACCTTGGCTTTATCAACCTCTCATCCCGACTTCGACACCTTATGACCCAATACTATCCCCTCTCTAACCAAAAAATGACATTTTTCCCAATTTAACACTTAGTGTCCTCACACCTAGCAAGTACTTTATCAAGATTCCGGAGACATAACTCAAAAGACTTCCCAAAGACAGAGAAATCATCCATGAATACCTCTACAAAGTCCTCCACCATATCATGAAAAATGGCCATCATGAACCTTTTAAAAGTCACCGGCGCATTGCAAAGTCTGAATGTCATGTGTTTGAAAGCGTAGGTACCATAAGGACAAATAAACGTGGTCTTTTTCCTGATCCTCGGGTGCAATTAAAATCTTGTTATATCCGGAATACCCATCTAAGAAACAATAGTACTCTTGCCCTATTAGTCGGTCAAGCATCTGATCAATGAAAGGAACCATGTAGTGATCTTTTCGGGTGGCATAATTTAGTTTTTGGTAGTCCGTGCAAATCCATCTAGTTACTGTTCTAGTGAGGATCAACTCATTTTTCTCGTTCCTTACCACTGTCATACCTCCCTTCTTAGGGACATACTGTACATGACTTACCCACTTACCATCAGAAATCGGATACACAATTCCAGCATCTAGCCACTTTATTACTTCCTTTGTCACCACTTCTTTCATCAAAGGATTTAGTCTACGTTGATGTTGTGCACTCGGTTTGTGATACTCTTCCATATAGATTTTGTGCATACATAACACTGGACTAATCCCATGAATATCATCCATTTGCTATCCAATAGCTCTCTTTCTCCGCTTTAGGACCCTTAATGCCGCATCAACCTGTATTTCAGACAACTATGCAGAAACTATTACAGGTAAAGTTTTGTTAGTACCCAAATACACATACCTTAGGTGAGCAGGCAAAGTTTTCAATTCTAATTAGGATCTTCTTCGATTGAGGGTTTTGGTGGAGGCCCTAACTCACAATCTAATGGCTCTACTCTACGCTTATGTATCTCCATAACTGCTAGATTTAAAAACGTCTCTATCTCTTGAGCCTCAGTATCTCCATCTACATTATGCCCCACTAACACTCTTTCTAAGGTATCATCGGGTGTAACGAGTTGCGATTCTACTGCGTGATCTACAACCGTAATGGCGGACAACTCTTCATTTATGGAAGGCAATTTCAAGGCGCGGTAGATATCAAACACTTCAACATTATCATGTGCCCTCATAGTTAACTGCCCAGCTGCTACATCAATCAATGCCCTCCATGTAACCAAGAATAGACGTCCCAGAATGAATGGAACTTCAGAATCAGGTTCACAGTCTAAGACCACAAAATCCATCGAAAAGATCAAGGAACCTACTTGTACTAACACATCCTCTACTACCCCCTCTGGCCTAGCAATGGCCCTATCAGCGAGTTGGAGAATGACAGTGGTCGGTTTTGGACTACCTAACCGAAGCTTTTTATATAATGACAAAGGCATGAGATTAATGCTCGCACCCAAATCACACAACCCCCGGGAATGAACACTTTGCCCAATTGTAATTTGTACAGTAAAACTACCCGGATCTTTTAACATCTTGGGTAATCTATTTTGAATTTTACAGTTGCACTCCTCAGTAAGTGCTACAGTTTCATAGTCCGTGAACCTCCTCTTGTTAGCCACTATCTCCTTCACGTACTTAGCATACTTCGGAATACCCTGCAAAATGTCAACTAAAGGCAGGTTAATGTGAACCTGTTTAAGGAGAGAGAGAAACTTACCGAAGCATTCGTCTTCATTCTACTTTTTGAACCTTTGTGGAAATGGAGGGTGTAGTTTCTTTTGAGAAACATGCGTCTTAACATTGGAGTTCTTTACCACCTTTTCCACTTTCTTTTCTTTATTACCTACCTCAATATCTCTCTTCTTTGGAGCTAGTTCCTCTAGTTTCAACCCACTTTTAATACCTACTGCATTCAATTCCTTAGGGTTTGGTTTAGTGTCACCGGGCAGTCCACCTTAGGGACGCAAGTTCATGGAGTTAGCTATTTGCGCAACTTATTTCTCTAAACTCATTTGGGACATTTGGATGTTTTTGATGTTCTCATCCTTCTTATCTATCTTAGCATTTATGTTTGTAGCTAATTCTATCATGAGCTTTTGGATTAACTCTTCATTGGTCATTCCCCCTTTAGGTGCACTTGGATATAAGCCCTGGTTAGGATTTTGGTATTGTTGCCCAGCCCCTTGTGAACTGTATTGGTTAGCCCCTTGCGGTTGGTTTTGATTTTGGTTCCCACCCCATGAGAAGTTAGGATGGTTCATCCAACTAGAGTTATAGGTATTACCATAGTTTTGTTGGCCTCCACCTCTTTGCGCATTACCCACATAGTTTACGGAATCCGAGTTTGCCTCACATAGTTCGGTTTCATGAGCTCCACTACCACATACTCCACACCAACTAGCTACATGTTGTACCATATTAACTGGTGCTTGGTTTAGGGACATTTGTTTGAAATACATGGCCATGTTATGTTTCATCGCATCTAGTTTGGCATTTATGGTGGTAGCTTGATCTACATCTAAGATTCCCGCAGCCCTTTGGGTTGTGGTTCTAGGTATTTCTCCCTCATAAACTTGGTTTCCTTTTGAGAGTCTATCTAATAAGTCCAATATCTCCTCATGGGTTTTTGCTAAGCCTTGTCCACATGTTGCACTATTAAGAAGTACATGTGCATTATAATCTAAACCCTCAAAGAACGTGCGAGAAAGTACCTCATTATCTTGGTAGTGGTGCGGGCAAGCATTCAATATTTGTTTAAATTGGGTCAATGTTTGGTACATATCCTCCCCATGTTCTGTTAAAGCTTAATATATCACTTCTCAGCCGGGCAGTTTTTCCCGATGGAAAGAATCGACTCAAGAACTTTTTTGCTAGATAATCCCATGTAGTGATGGAGTTGGGTGGCTCTGAATCTAACCACTGTCTGGCGGCTCCTAACTACAAGTGTGGGAACAACGTCAGCCTCACATAGTCAGGTGAGACTCCATTTGGGATGTGTATCACTAATCTCTAAAAAGTTCCTAGTGTGGATTTAAGGATCCTCATGGGGGAGACCGGTAAATTGTCCCATCGAGTGGATGAGCTATACCATGTTCTGTTTTAGTTCAAACCTACCCCCGGATGGTGGTTTACTTATACTAGACGTTACATTGGCTGTGAGTGGGACTGCCACGTCACAAACTGATCTTGCAGGGATAATTGGAGGTACATCAGGTACTTTCTGGTTTAGGTTATTCACATTTTCTTGGTTGTTACCCTTATTGTTTTTCGGGATTCCTAGACCTAATTCTTGCTGACGTCCTAAGTTAGCCATTTTTTTGCATCGGCGTAAAGCTCTTTTGGATTTGTTGTCTGGTTTGACAAGTTCTCCTTTTCGAGCCATACTTGAGAGTCAAGTGCCTGCAATATAAGAGCTAAGATCAAGTTATTAAAACCTAAATAATCTAATTGAAGACTTAAGAAAATCAAATATAAATCCATTTCTAAGTCCCCGGCAGCGGCGCCAAAAACTTGTTGCTCCCCAATAGACACGCAAGTGTACGTGGTCGCTCAAGTAATATAGTTTCTTTAAGAAACGAGTTTTCGTTCCCAAGGGACTTGTGATCGATTTATAGTTAATACTTAACTCTACAACTAAACAAAAGTAACCTTTTAAGAAGATTGTAATTATTAGTAACTACTATTCCTACTTATGCAATAACTAAAAGTAACCAATTGCGAATGACTTTAAGATGATGTTTTAAGCAAGTAAAAGACAATTCTAGGGCTGCAACATGCAATGGATTTCATGTATCAGATCTTAGGCAATGAACTATTTTTTGGTTATCAAGTTACTAGTTTATATAGTTAATTGTATGAGTCAGGTCTCTCGACCTCTAGTCGCCTATTCGAATTAACTGTCTAACTATGTCGTTGGGCGGGGATAGCAGGCAAAACTTGCGAGCATTTATATTTCAACATGTTTCGTAACCAAGAAAGTTGTTCGTCTTGGTGTAACTCCTGAACACACATCAACTCACAATGGATGATCGAGCTTTCTATTTTTCCTGGTCTATATACTCTTTCCTCTCTCAATTTTAAGAATAGACAATAGATTTATCTTATGGTGGCAAGCATAAAATACTAAAACAAGAATATAGAAGTAACTTATAATTACAACCAAGAATTAATTTAATAACCTTAAATAATCAACATTCAATCCGTAGCTACAACCCCAGAACTAGGGCGTTTAGCCACTCATAATATTCAAAATCCGCAAAATACAATTGTTTATGAGATTTCCAAAAATAAAAAGAGTTAGAAAATTGAAACCTATTACAAACGATGGAACTTGCTCTTGCACACCAAAATAATGTCGAACTCCCAACAAAATAGCCCTAGAGGTCTATTTATAGAAGTTGGGAAAACTAGATTCAAATTCTACTTCAACTAAGAATTCTATTTTAATATATTTTTTATGAAAAAGTCAGAACATGGCTAGGGCGCTGCGCCTACCATCGCGCCAAGCCAAGGCCGCTAAAGTTTTGGCCTTGGCGTGCCACACCCATCAGTGCACCAGGCAAAGGCCATTGTAATTTGGCCCTTGGCGCCTCGCGCCAGATAGAGCGCAGGCCCTGGGGATTCCAACCTTAGTCTATTTTTGAGTTTCTTTGCTCCTTCTTCCTTCGCATCAACTCCAATTCCCATAAGAGTTCCTGAAATAACAAATCATATGTTTTAGTGCATAATCATCGCAAGTTTAACAAAATCAAGCTAATAGACTCAAGATTATTCATTAATTGAATCTCACCATGGGCAAATATAGGCAACTTTGGCATATAACTATGCCTAAGATTAGTAGCTTGGAGAAATAGCTCACCCTTGGCTTCTCATGATGCTAGGATCACAATTGAGGTCGCTAAGTAGCCGCCTAAATATGTCATGTACTTAACAAAAAGTTAGAAAGTGTGGTATCAGTACAAAAATTACAATGTACTGGTAGGATCATCGATCAACTCCAAAGATATGAATGTAAGCACATAAGTAAAACATAGTACAAATGAGACAACACACACATGAACTAAGTCAACAATATAACAAGACTCGCAGTTACAAATGTTGACTTAACATTTACATGAAACATGTCCCACATTAATGAGCTAGTATTTTACTGACTCATTAGACTCAAATTCATGAATTACTACCATGTTTTATGCTAATTGGGGGGGGGGGATATTAGGCCCTAGTTCTCTTGTATGCAAACATTCTTTGGAAAAAGAAAGTTTGATGGATTTTAAGTTGATAATCACTGAAGCTAACTGGCAAAACAACTAGCGTCCCATAGGAACCAACAAGTGCCACACTTGTTAAATGACAACCTGAAAGGAGTAAAGTTACCTCAGTACCAACGCTGAAATTGGTGTGGTATAATGCTTGGTTAGTGTCTTGCCGATCCCAATGCAAATACTCCTGTGAGAACTGAAGGCTAACATATAGAAGCGACTGGTGCTACACAATCCTTGATCGGCGTTCCACCGGTCCAAGACGGAAGCTGAAGGGAAAAAATCATAATTATGGAATTTAATGCTTCTTTTGGAAGGTTCCAGGATTAAATGGAGATTTGTGTAATTATGTACCTTTATCTTCTTTCCAATTAGGGATAGTAGAGAAAGTTCTCTTTTTGGTAGAAATTGTTCATAGAGAATAGTGAAGAACTCCTTAGTTTGTAGAGGAAGAAACCTCAAATTTGTATCATTCCAAGCTTGGATTTCAATTTTGTTAATCACATTAGCTCGAAATGGATATTTCCTACTAGGGTATTGTCTCTTTTTCTTCTTTTATGAACAACTTAATCCTTAGCTAGGGGTGTGTATTCTTGATGGTAGTGTAAAACCCTAAATGGGTATTGATTAATTGGTTTCAAAATTGAATGTATTACATAAATCTGTTATTGTCTTGAAGTTTTAACCTAAATATCAGTGCTTGCAAACATTGATTGAACTCTTTATCACTGTTTTGGCTTGAGAAAGCAAAATAGAGTTGGGTAAGACTCAATAGTGAGGTCTTGTTGAAATTTACTTTATGGGTTTAAGCCAAGAATGAGATAATCCGAGTAATTTCTCATTTAATGATATGAGCTAGGGATAGTCTATCTACTCAAGTAATGTTTGATTTTTTATCTGAAAGGATCTTGGAGTTCGAGAGAATCCAAGGGACATACATTTAAGAGTTTGGAAGAATAACAAATGTAGCCTTGTCCAAACGCTATCCACATATCAATTGATTTGGTTATGATTAGTCTTTGCCTATTTGAGTTTAAACCCCAATTTCCATGCACACACCCCTATAGTCTTTCCAAACTCGGTAGATCATATTTGTGTTTATTTTTGTTCTGTTACTTTATATCAGTGAACTTTAGTTATTACTAACCCCTCCCCCCTATTTGATATGTATAACAATGTGTGTTGATAATTCAATTAGCTAGTTTTCTTCGAGTAGTGAAATCAAATGAAAGTGCTCCTCCCATCTTCCAATCCTTGTGTACGAGCCGGACCTATAACGTTGGGTATTGTTTTGCATATGATCATCTATGCCTTGAAAATAAGATGTATGTGAGGGATTATAAAAAATGGCATCGTTACCTGGGATTGGTTAATGATTGTTTTTTTTTTTAATTTCTAGATTCAAACTTGCGTCATTTTGTGTTCTTGTTACTTTCTGTTTTGTGTTGTTGCTTGCTAAAAACAGGGCAATATG